TGAGGAGATCACAACTCCACTCAGGAGTGATTTAAGGGGTGGTTATATCCCATTAGCCCCACTGAGGAGCGAATTAAGGAGGTGGTTACACCCCTTAATCCCCTATAAATAACTAAGAAATCAACTTAGTTCGGGGCTGGATCTTTGAGGTTCGGTCAGTTGGAACTTCTTGGCTCGTCAACAGGATCCTTAGAGCATTTCTGGAGCTTTGGAGATCGGCAACAAGATCTTCTTCATCCTTGGCTTATAACCGACTTTCGGTTAAATCAACTCTTTCATAGAGTTTCAAACTCGTTCAGAGTTCTCCACAACGTCAAATCGTGAGGAGAAGACCACATTCCAGTGAAACAAGACATCGGATCGTCAACGAGAAGCAAACTCGACGCGAGCATTCGAGGGAGGCATCTCATCGCCACCGTGAAGAACCCAGATTTAAACAAAGGGGAGAATCCAAATCATTCTCTTCTCTTTTGTAATCAGGAAATCTAATTGTAACTGAGATTAAAGGAATACAAATCAATTTTTCTTCGTTTCTTTTACTGCAAATTTTCCCACAAACATGGCGTCAGTTGACGTACCTAGGGAGAGGTTGTAACCGAGCACTTGAGGAGGAGGACACGGGCTAGGACCAACACTTAGTGTGTAAAGTGTGATTGCATAGTGATTATATTGTGAGGTGTAAACGTTGTTCGGGTAAACGTAGAAAACCCGGTTGTGATAGTGGAGATCTCCTCGAGGTGAGGAGCGGAGACGTAGGTCGTGGGGACCGAACTCCGTGATCATATCGTTTTGTTTGTGATTGCATTGGCGTTCTTATTCTTGTTTTCATATCTTATATCGCCTTTGTGTATTGCTCATCATATTACCCTATCACTTGTGTAGATTGTTTATTTTACCCTTGTGTTAGTTTATATATCCTTGCTCATATACTTATAATATCTCATTGATAGGATATATTCATTTGTTCATATTGCCTTATCCTAGCTAATGTATCTTATTGCATTTTATTCTTGCTAGGATATTTTGTTATTAGTTTTAATTGGTATTTAATCAGATTAGATTAGCATAAGACCCTAATCACCCCCCTCTAGGGTCTAACAACCAAGTCCTTGGTTCTTAGAGTTAAGACCAAGGCACAATGACTTCTCAGTCAGTATAAAGACCTTGGTGCTGCCTCAGGGAAGGTCCAAGGCACAACGACTTCTCAGTCGGTACAAAGACCTTGGTGCCGCCTCAGGGAAGGCCCAAGGCACAATGACTTCTCAGTCGGTACAAAAACCTTGGTGCCACCTCAGGGAAAGCCCAAGGCATAACGACTTCTCAGTCGGTACAAAGACCTTGGTACCACCTCAGGAGAGGCCCAAGGCACAACGACTTCTTAGTTGGTCATCCAGTTCAAACTCCTCAGTAAGAATAAATCCGAAGTATGATGCCTCAGCTGGTCATTAAAGCCTGAGTTTCCTTACTTAGACGAGCTTAAGACAAAGCACCGATTACAACCTCTATGCTTCTCGACTAAACAAAGAAGCAAGGACGCCGATGTCTATGGTCTATAAAGGCCGACATGATTCTTGAAGAAGAGGACCAGGCCGAATTATAATGATGATATGGTCACAAGTCTCAGCAGACAGTTTGTAATTCTTAGAAACAAATGATAAGAAAAATCACTTTCTATTCAAAATATGTTTTTATAAAAGAGGCCCAACAGGGCTTACAAAAAGAAGAAAAGAAGAAAAAAGCAAAATTGGGTCCGGATACCGAACCTCCTAAGTGACAGCCTCGATCCTCCTCCTTATTAATCAGAGCCTCCACCACTTGGCGAGTCACCCCACTTTTTCTTGAGAGGCCTCCTGGAAGAACTTGGCCCCTCCGAGTCAGTCCTTTTACATACCTCCATCGGGGGAGGAAGGACTGCTGCTCCGGAGTCAGAGGAAGACGAGGAAGACCCTTCCACCTCTAGGAATTCATCCCCGTCCAGAGCCCTGGACTCCTGAAGGCCGAGATGGCAACGAAGCTTCTCTAAGTCTCCGGCTTTGGGAAGGCTAAGGGCCCTCGGCTCCAACACATTGTCTTGCACTTCGGGCTAACCCGAGCAGGACAGAATGTTGTCGGTGCCGAATACCTAGGCGAAGGACCTCCTCCAGTCCTCTTCCAACTCTGGGAAGTCATCATTCAGGTGGAATTTGCCCCGACAGTAGAGAAAATAGTGTGGGTCGCTCTCCGCGGACCCCACACTAACTACGTGCCTAAGAAAATTAATGTTGGGCACCATGCCCGCCTCGGAGCAGACATCTATAAACATCATCAAAGTATAAATGGCGTGCGGGTGGAATTGGCAGGGGGAAACCCCCAGCGCCGTGAAAACCTCCCTGATGAAGGGATGCAGTGGTAGGCGCAAGCTGCATTCCAGGTGCGCCCGGTAGAGAGGCACTCATCTTCGCCGTGCATATGCACTTGATTGAGGCTGTCCGGTGCTCCTATGGTCATGACACGGGAGATGTCGTACCAACTATGCAAGCGAGGCACGTCATCCAATGACATTCTTGATCGAGAACAATACAGAACCCTGAGCCTCCTCTCATGGTCATTTTGAGGAAAAGCCATATGTAAAATGCTTAAAGGAATAGGGATCCAACAAGAAGAATATTCCTGATGAAGAATGTGCTCCTAAAGTCGTGTTAGGGATTATTTATAACCCTCTGAAGAAGCAAGCAGAACTCAAGAGGCATGATCTCGAAGCGACCAAGGAAGATAAAAACAGATCCGTTTTCAGAAATGAAAACGACTCGCGGGGAATATCAATCGCCCAGTATAACTGCTGCCCACTCTTCCCACGACGCCTCATTTCCCCACGAAACGATTTCCAATGTCAACAACGTTAAACCAAAGAGGGATCAATAGTTAACAAGCCCAAATACTATCTCTCAAGCCACGATTAACCGGCTAAAAGATCCATGATATTAAGAGCCGAGTCATACCTATTTCACTCGGACCCGACCAAAGACGGCTCCGAATAAAAGGGGCCAACTATTATGGTAATCTACTATTTATCAACAAAAATAATTAGAAGATTGTCTCCATGAGCCTAATGGAGTCACAATTCAAATCGATTCAGCTAAAAAGCCTAGCCAAAAGCCAAACGCTTTAGCCGACACGAAGCACGGAAGCAGTCGGTCCTTCACCTTTAAGGCGGCTACTCGGGAGTCCACCCAACTCCTAATCGAAACGACTCCCCCAGTCATGACTCGACTGTCTACCGAGCTGTCTGACTGGACTGACGACTCACTTATCTAGTCAACAAGTTACGAGAACGATCCGCCTTCCAATACAATCATGCTGGGGAAGATAAAGATCCGAGTCATCCAACTGAGCTATTTCCAAGATATACATCAACCAACCACAGTATTGATCAGTCACATCAAAAGTCTCAAACTCTGATGAAGTCTTAAATACAAAGACGACTCATTCTATTCCCAAGTCACTTCTGGGACGTAATCAAGACACCCTCTGAGCTCAGACGATCTTTTCTCCGGTCGTCAGCTACCATCTGTGAAGCAATGAGTGGCTAGATCGGTCAGCCTATCTTCCCTTTATCCTTATCCGTCAAACCTGGGATGTTATCGAGGCGCCTTCTGTACTCGAGTGCCTCACCCTCCAATCACTAACCGCCATCTGTAAAGATAAGGGTGATTCAGCACCTCACCGTATTCTCGGCCATACGCCATCTAATCAATCTTGGGGCCTTATCAAGATCATCTCGAAATAGTATCTCCTCCAGTCGCCAGCCAACACTTGAAAGGACTACTGCTGACTCAGCCTCCAACTCATCCCCCACCATCGTCCTCAGACCCCTTATGAAGCCACGTGTCTATCCTCAACAGCCTATAAAGAGAAAGGGAAAAGAAGGGGACCTAAGGAGTGCTCTCTTTTTCGGGACTCAGGTTCTTTGAACTCAAACAACTAAGAAATCATTTTTTTCTTCAAGTTGCTTAAAAATAAATTCTAAAAGGAGAATGTACCCTGCATGGACCTCAATGGCCCAGGGACTCTCCCCAAAACCTCCCTCAAACTCATCCTCTAACTTGACCGTCGGAGGTACCATGGGGGAAACATGCCTCGTACCTCGACGTTCCTTGTGTGTGCAGGCTATCAGTCCACCCTGTGCGCTCAGAGCTAGGCATAAAGTCGGAGGGGGAGTCGGCCCCTTTATCCTTTATCATCCTCCCTCGGTAGACAACCTCTCCCTATTGACTGTGTGATTCCAGACATCAACAGACTCCTCTCAGGATGATTCTCTAGGGGAAGCTGAGTGCTCTTCCTATTTTCTTCAAATGTGAAATTGTCAGGGGATGCAACTGATGTTTGATGTGCATTAGTCTCTAAATTTGCACTAACATATGATTTAGAATATATACTTTCTTATATATAGAAATGAAAGTTTCTTAATATATTCAGGAGAAAGCTTTGCGTCATAGCATGCACTTGTATCATATATTAAGCTTTGCGTCATAGCATGCACTTGTATCATATATTCTATGCGAAGAATGTATTTAATAAATAATAATTCTAAAATTGGTGAGTGAAAAATTAATTGACCTTTAAATATTTAAACTCTTGTAGTTCTTAATATGCATCACGTGCAACGCACGTGTGGCATACTAATATCAATAAAATGGTATTATCTTGGTTGCTCCTCAATCCACATCAATTCTGACCTCATCAAAGACAACTTAAAGTCATGAATCCCAGCTAACACCCCACTTTATAGTGAAGCCCAACTACTTAGAAGGTCCAATTTTTTAATTAAAATAAAGAAAACACAAAATACTGGTCCTTGCACTATGAACTCTCATCAGATGTTTAACATTTATCAACAGCCCACCAACATTTTTCCGAAAACAATATTACAGTATTTAAGCAAACAACAAGTGTATCTCCACAATTAATTATAGTTCTGACGAAAATAGTCAAATACATTGTAAAAATAATATTACCCTCAACTAATTACATGACACTACAGGAAGATTGTGGCTCCTCCTCGTAAACAAATTGGCAAGTGTTGTCGGCCACCCGTACCGCCTTCCGCACCAGCAACAGTTGCAATACCCGTAGTACCCCTCCTTCCATGACCGGCAACCACATCCGCAACACGAACCCGAACCAGGCCAAACCGGTTGGTACCCTAGCTCGGGTTCTTGCGCCACAAAAACTGGTTCAGCCTTAACTGGTTCGGGGACTGGTGGGTCTGGTTCGAGTGCCTTGGGCTTTTCCTTCTTAGGCTCATCTTTGGGCTTGTCCTTCTTCGGCTGAAATGACTCGGCCGGTTTAGTTTCCTTGGGCTTTTCCTTCTTCGGTTCGGTTGACTCAGCCGGTTTAGTTTCTTTGGGCTTTTCCTTCTTGGGTTCAGCCGGTTTAGTTTCTTTAGGCTTTTCTTTTTCTTTGTGCTCTTTGATTTGAATGTCTTTGATCGCCTCGCAAGCTTTACAACAAAGCTTCTTGCATAGCTTCTTGGGGTTGAATGGGCCAGAGATTGTTACCGTGTTGTTCTTCTCGTCGAATTCGACAGTTTGGATCTTCTCTTTCTCTTAAGAAGTAGAATTCATGAGATTGGAAGTTGCAATAAGTTTTGTTACATGTTAATAGTAGTAGTAGATTAATTTATTTTGATACAAAAGTGTAATTAGAATTGTTGTTTACCTTGGAGCTTGCATATTGTTTTGCTGATCTTTTTGTAGCAACGTCGACAATCAAGATCAACCTTCAAGATTATAGTGGAGATCTATGACAACGTAAGAAATGTAGTTATTAAAAAAATGATGATTTAAATGATTTATAATATTAATAATTGAAACATTAAGGAAATTATGGAAGATGAAGAGTCTAGGAAAGATAAAAGGTCATAGCACGACAAAGACATGCAATCTCGAAGGTTAATCAAAAGTTTATCGACCACAGACGAGATTAAAGGCAAAATCATTTGATTTGGGGGAAAAAACAATCTAGTCTGAATAAAAACAAAAGAGAAAAGAATACAACTCAAAATGGATCCTAACAAAATTAAGACCACATTATATATAACGAGCTATCACAAGAAGGAAACTTTTTTCCTTCTTTTGAAAAGATTATAAATAGAACAGTAAATTTAGATTGAGCAACAGTACCTTCTCTGCCATTGCTAGTTGATTACACAAGATCCCCAGACATAGAGATCAAGAGAATGGGAGAAAGAGAAGAAGAGAAGGCAAGAGAGGCAGTCGCTTGACCTACTTATTTAACGAGGTTGGTGGTACCCTCTAATGTCATTTAATTAAAAAAAAACTTGTAGATTACAATACATTAATTTCTTTTGCAAGCATGGGGACCCACAGTATCTCTAATCTTTTGGAAATGTGGAGAAAAAAAATTTCAATTGTGGATGCTCTATAATGAAAACCATAGTGTATAAGGGGGGAAATCATAATATGTGTCCCATTACTAATTCTAAATCATGACAATAAGTACAATATCAATATTAGTAGAATTAATAACTATGAGACAATTAAAATAATAGTGCAGCTAAGAATATTATACCACTCCAATGAAAATATTATGCCACTCCAATTATCAACTTTAAAATGTATATATATTGGACTATGTGTTACTTGTTACTTTGATTTTGTATAGAGACCCATCCCCAGGAACATTTTTCCCAAATGTCAAATTGTTCCATAATGATGCATGCGCTACCACACATGCAATGGATGCGTATACCACTTCAACTTCGAGTCGGTTGATGTACCACATTGAATTGTGTAAACTTTAAGTTCAAGCTGACAGAACAAGTGAGAGGACTTTAGACGAGAGGTTGGTATTTGGTAATGATGGAATTTGATTCCCTCTTCATGGTGTGCATGTTCATACTTAGAACATAATTAAATAGATGACTTTAGTCTTCTGTATCTGTGAAAAAAGCATTGATATGATTGGATGTGGCTTCAAGAATGCCTTGTTTATACCTTTATTAAGTACTGGTTGGAGTTAAACTAAGCTAGGGATATAAAAAGAGAGATATGAAGGGAACATGGAGAATATATTCGTATAATTATACTCTTATATGTCTTCCTGTAGAGGATGTAGATTGAATTATTGTATTTTTCTTATGTTGGACTAAATATCTGTATTTAATGAAAGTAAATTCAGATCGAAATTAATTGATTATTCAGTAGTAAAAATGTGATCACTTATTAAAGTTGGCCTTTTATAACTTTAACATAAGAACTACTATCAAATCCGCACTAGCTGCATCAACAAACACAGTGCTGTTATACACATTAGTACTTGGTCATGAGGCTAGAATCATTCCTGTATATGTCCAAGTCTTTTATTTTTGGCGAAAAACTATATATATCCAATAACGACACAGGTAACGCAACATTAAGTCATAGACTTTATGATTATGGTAGTAATACTAGAAATAAAAGATCCTAGATTAGCCTAAATCTTGTCAAGAGCGTGTGAGATTGCTTCCTTGTATATTTGTCGGCAGACCCATGCTAATAACTCAAAATGACTTGTGCATGTCCCACAAGTTTCTTCCACCTAATTTAAAGCTGTCATCATGCCAACCATTTCAATTTTGCAATACCAACAGATGATATAGCTGAGATGAAAAGAAAATGATGATGGATGAACTTTCTTAGAAGTCGCCCAAAAAGATAAACCACTAGAAGCACTAGATAGGAGCAAGGTTGACAAAAGGATACCTTAAAGTATGGGACAAGTTAACATCAAATATAATAGGGAAAATTCTCTTTTAACCCAAAGTTTTACCCCCAATTATTTTAAAACCCATCCACTTTACTGAACACCAATAAACCCATTATACCCATTTGGCTTAGTTTTAAACCCAATGCTCCTTATACCTCTCTATCTCTATACTGTATTTTCCCCAAAATAGAGAAACCCGACTTTGCCCTTTCTCTCTTCTTCTCATCACCGTCAACAGTAGGCATTAATGGCGACAATGGCGGGAGAAAAGGGCGGGCTACACTCAGTCTTCACAAACCCCCAATTTGGTCCCCATCTTCAATTACTCTCTCCTTCTCTCTCTCCTCCATTAATTTCTCCTCTCTTCTTGAGAAATCTCTCTCCTCCATTAATATTTCTCTTCATAGAAGACATTAATCCTACATCAGATCAGTGGTTGAGATCTCATGTTCGTTTCTTGCAGTAAAAGAAGACATTTAAAGGTAACTATAAAGTGATTGAGATCCCATCCTTATATCTTGATTTGTTGAAATGTCTAAATTTTTAAATGAGAAAACCTTTATCATGTTGAGACTACTATTTTCTCATGAGAAAACCCTAATTCTGTTGATTACATCATTTGTAGTGAGAGTTTGGAAAGTGCTATACTTTCTTTAAAAAGTGCTATGAAAAGCTAAGCAATGTACCCGTTCTATATTTTCTTTATTTGATTCACAAAATAAAAATCATTTGTTCCTCATTTCTATAGAATGTAGAAAAATCTGGTCTTTGAATATTTAGGAATGAATATTGAATTATATTGTATAGAAACATAGAGAATTGCATATTGAATGCCGATGTTGAATTATATCGTATACAATAAGAAAATGCATGTTAGACTTGTGTTTGTTTGGTAATATTTGATTGTTAGTTAGTTCCCCACTTATTTTATTTTTTATGAATTTCAGTAATGGAAGAAGAGCTATATTGTGCAATTATGGACTTTAGAGGAAACAATCATTTGATTCCAATGAATATCAAGGGGACTTTCAGTAATTTAGTGGCCGAGGTGCAAAGTAGAATTACTTTTTTTTTCAAGCCCAGTGAAGCTGACTTATGAAGTCCCATATACAGAAGAATTGTTTGTACGTGTCCATGATGACGTCGATTTGTCAACAATGTTCGATGTACATCTAAGTTGCAAGAAGAAGATAGTTAAGATGCATGTTGACATAGATCGAGATACATTATTTGGTCTAGAGGAAAACACCATTCACATAAGGTAAGAACTTATTGTATATTGTGAGGTCCATATTTCACAAAATTAATCCATGTTTATTTAATTTCTCTGTAGTTCAAAGAAAAATTATGACGATATAATATGTCGGCAATTAGCTATAGTACTAGATAAGAATTTTCATTAATGTTTCTAATTGCTAGTCTTATAAGGTAACTGCTTTATGTTTGCAGGAATCCTACCATATCTCTTTCGGAACAACATGCATCCTCGACGCATAATCCATCCAATTCACAAAATGCATTACGTGAAGTTGAGAGATCTAGTATTCAGATTCCTATTTCATGGTATCATGCCATTAGAAGTGTCGGACAAGAATTTAATGATGTTGAACATCTAAGGCAAAGTCTTGGAAATTACTCAATTGCTCTCGGTTTTAACTTTGCTTATTTGAAAAATGAACCTAGAAGATTGATAGTAAAATACAAAGGTGCTGATTGTGAATGGATGGTCCATTGTAACCGTCGTACAGACTGCAAACGGTTTTACGTGAAGAAAATTGGTCGTGCACATAGTTGTCTCGGAGGAGGCATAGGAGAGAAGGGACATCCACGGGCATCTCGTAAGTGGGTTGCAAATATTGTGAAATCCATACTAAAAGAACAACCCACCTACCGCGCAATTGATCTTAAAAAGAAGCTTCTGAGAGAGTTTGGCGTTGATATCCCCTATGGAAGAGCTTGGTGTGGGAAAGAGCTTGCTTAACAGGAGTTATATGGGTATGCAAAACATTCATATGAACAACTTAGATGGTACAAGGATAAAGTTATGGAAGCTAACCCAGGATCAATCGTCCATCTAGAACATGAAGATGGCAGAGTTACTAGATTTTTTATCTCATATTATGCTTGTTGGAAGGGTTTTGTCGAGGGATGTAGACCAATTTTATTCTTGGATGGCACCCATCTTTTTGATAGGTACAAGGGAACTCTACTTGCTGCTACTGCTTTGAATGGAGATGGAGGAATGTTTCCTGTCGCTCTTTGTATTTGTGGAACCGAGAATGAGAGCAATTGGGAGTGGTTCCTTGAATGCATTCGTGACGTATTGTACAATTCAGATGATCCATATACTCCGAATGATGAGCTGGTTATAATCTCTGATCGAGACAAAGGACTTCAAAATTCCGTCAAGAATTGCTTCCCTTGTTCATATCACAGTTATTGCATCCGCCATTTAATGGCCAATTATAAGAACAACTTGTCAAAGAAAAGGTTACCAGCACCACTTAGGGATGATTGTGTTCAAATTATGAAGAGAGCTGCCTATGCCTACACAATGCATGCTTATCATAATGAATGCAACGAGCTCCAGAATAAGTCATCTATTGCTTTCATTGAAATGCTGAATATGAGCCCACAGAACTGGGCTAATTGTTATTTTCCTGGAAAGAGGTCACCATTTTTACATATTTTTGGTCTTTGTGATTGAACTCTCTGATATGTGTGTTTGAACATGTATAACATTTGAATAATCCTATAGCTATAACATGGTTGCAGGTATGGGTGGTTAACCTCAAATCTAGCTGAGTCCTTCAACGCATGGATTAAGGAAGCCCGATTTTTACCGATAGCGCAGTTGGTTGATCACATCCGGGTGAAGATGATGAAAATGAGCTACGATAGACGTGAGGAATCCAACAAATGGACTACACCACTTGTTCCTAGTGTAGAGGAGCATCTTGTCCTGATCAACGAGGGTGCACGTTGTCTTCATGTTAATCCTTCTACGTCGATTCTGTATGAAGTATATGATTCCCCATCTGTTAGAGTGAATTTGGAGTACCGCACGTGTACTTGTCGCCAATGGCAAGTTCTTGGACTACCTTGCAAGCATGCGGCCGCCGTAATCAGGCACAAAGATCAGCTATTGTATCCATATATTTCTGACTATTTCAGCACGGAGGTGTACCGCAAGTGTTACTCCTTTCCCATATATCCAATTCCTGATGATGAGAAGCCAATTATAACGGATGAGAATATGGAGATTAGACCTCCATTAACTTCGATTCGTAGAGGAAGGCCAAAAACAAAGCGGATCCCTTCTGGACTAAATCCTTCTAGATGTTGAAGTGTAGCCGATGTAAGGAGTTCGGTCACAATCGACGAACATGTAACCAACCAATAGCTGATTGAAATATCATGCTTTTGAATATTTTCAAATCAGTTTGATTGTGATCTTCATGGACTTATTATAGGTTGATTATGTTTTGGTGGTGAAGATCAAAAAACAAACTATTTTGATTATTGTAAATTTTGTGTAACTACTTCAGTTAGTTTTAATGTTATTTCAGTTAGTGTTATTGTTATATCTGGTTGGTATACATTACTCAAAACCTTTGATGTTATCTTATCAAGTATTTGCATTACGGTGGAAGATTGGTCAATAAACACGTGACGTAGGTCGTCGAGTGGTTTCGTCGCGGTGAAAAAAACTGATTTGATTTTAGGCTCTTAAGCTGCAGAATTTCCAGAAAATATAAGGTGCTATACTTTTCCAATAAGGTGCTATACTTTGTCAATAAAGGGCTATACTTTGTAATATAGTGCAATACTTTGGCCAAAAGGTGCTATACTTTCCCATAAGGTGCTATACTTTTCCCAGAAACTTCAAAATTGCGCGAGGACCCCCCGTCGCGGTGGATGATTGGTCAATAACACGTGACGTAGGTCGTCGAGTGGTTTCGTCGCGGCGAAAAAAACTGATTTGAATTTAGGCACTTAACCTGCAGAATTTCCAGAAAGTATAAGGTACTATACTTTGCCAATAAGGTGCTATACTTTGTTAAAAAAGTGCTATACTTTGCAATATAGTGCTATACTTTGCAATATAGTGCTATACTTTGGCCAAAAGGTGCTATACTTTCCCATAAGGTGCTATACTTTGCCCAGAAGCTTCAAAATTGCGCGAGGACCCCCCGTCGCGGTGGATGATTGGTCAATAAACACATCACCTAGGTCGTCGAGTGGTTTCATCGCGGCGAAAAAAACTAATTTGATTTAAGACACTTAAGGTGCAGAATTTGCAGAAAGCATAAGGTGCTATACTTTGCCAATAAGGTGCGATACTTTTCCAATAAAGTGCTATACTTTGCAATATAGTGCTATACTTTGGCCAAAAGGTGCTATACTTTCCAATAAACACGTCACGTAGGTCGTCGAGTGGTTTCGTCGCGGCGAAAAAAACTGATTTGATTTTAGGCACTTAAGCTGCAGAATTTCTAGAAAACATAAGGTGCTATAATTTGCCAATAAGGTGCTATACTTTGTCAATAAAGTGCTATACTTTGTAATATAGTGCTATACTTTGGCCAAAAGGTGCTATACTTTCCCATAAGGTGCTATACTTTGCCCAGAAGCTTCAAAATTGCGCGAGGACCCCCGTCACGGTGGATGATTGGTCAATAACACGTGACGTAGGTCGTCGAGTGGTTTCGTCGCGGCGAAAAAAACTGATTTGATTTTAGGCACTTAAGCAGCAGAATTTCCAGAAAGCATAAGGTGCTATACTTTGCCAATAAGGTGTTATACTTTTCCAATAAAGTGCTATACTTTGCAATATAGTACTATACTTTGGCCAAAAGGTGCTATACTTTCCCATAAGGTGCTATACTTTGCCCAGAAGCTTCAAAATTGCGCGAGGACCCCCGTCACGGTGGATGATTGGTCAATAACACGTGACGTAGGTCGTCGAGTGGTTTCGTCCCAGCGAAAAAAACTGATTTGATTTTAGGCTCTTAAGGTGCAGAATTTCCAAAAAGCATAAGGTGCTATACTTTGCCAATAAGGTGTTATACTTTTCCAATAAAGTGCTATACTTTGCAATATAGTGCTATACTTTGGCCAAAAGGTGCTATACTTTCCCATAAGGTGCTATACTTTCTCAGAAGCTTCAAAATTGCGCGAGGACCCCCCGTCACGGTGGATGATTGGTCAATAACACGTGACGTACAAAATTGCGCGAGGACCCCCCGTCACGGTGGATGATTGGTCAATAACACGTGACGTAGGTCGTCGAGTAGTTTCGTCCCGGCGAAAAAAACTGATTTGATTTTAGGCTCTTAAGGTGCAGAATTTCCAGAAAGCATAAGGTGCTATACTTTGCCAATAAGGTGCTATACTTTTCCAATAAAGTGCTATACTTTGCAATATAGTGCTATACTTTGGCCAAAAGGTGCTATACTTTCCCATAAGGTGCTATACTTTTCCCAGAAGCTTCAAAATTACGCGAGGACCGCCCGTCGCGGTGGATGATTGGTCAATAACACGTGACGTAGGTCGTCGAGTGGTTTCGTCGCGGCGAAAAAAACTGATTTGATTTTAGGTACTTAAGCAGCAGAATTTCCAGAAAGCATAAGGTGCTATACTTTGCCAATAAGGTGCTATACCTTTCCAATAAAGTGCTATACTTTGCAATATAGTGCTATACTTTGCTCAAAAGGTGCTATACTTTCCCATAAGGTGCTATACTTTGCCCAGAAGCTTCAAAATTGCGCGAGGACCCCGTCACGGTGGATGATTGGTCAATAACACGTGACGTAGGTCTTCGAGTGGTTTCGTCCCGGCGAAAAAAACTGATTTGATTTTAGGCACTTAAGCTGCAGAATTTCCAGAAAGCATAAGGTGCTATACTTTGCCAATAAGGTGATATACTTTTCCAATAAAGTGCTATACTTTGTAATATACTGCTATACTTTGGCCAAAAGGTGCTATACTTTCCCATAAGGTGCTATACTTTGCCCAGAAGCTTCAAAATTACGCGAGGACCCCCCGTCACGGTGGATGATTGGTCAATAAAATTTTTTTAACTTATAATTTCAAGTACGTCTCTTCCTTATGGATAATTGAACAATAAAAAAATTTTAACTTATAATTTCAACTACCTCTCTTCCTTAAAAATCTGTGGTGTTATATTTTTCATTTCATGAAGAGCAAGTAATTGATTGGATGAGCGATACTATTCTCAATACCCAAGTGATGTGTACCATAGACTTGCTCACAAAAGGTAATGGACTTAACGGTAGTTGATAAAAGTTTGTATTATTATAGGATCTCCACAGTTAAGTTTAAGTCACAACCATTTGCATAATAAATATCCGCTAGCCTCTCAGCAGCAAAACCAGGAAATACAGATGCCAAATATTCCATGGGATTGACCGAAGCATCATCTGAAATAATCTGCTCATTTAAGGAATCATTCAACAAGCCAGAACTGGAATCTCCATTGTAATGATACCACTCCCTTCCATTTGTAAAATGCTGGTCACCATTTACAAACCTTTTGTCCCATTCACTAGCAGAAAATGTCATAAAGGTATTTGATGGTTGATTTTGCAAGCGAAAGTTGCCCAGGTGTGTGCACCTCTTCTTCTACCATACTCTTGAACTCAGGAGTAATATCATCTGGAAGTTGGTCAGCCAAGTACAAATCAACACAAAATGGATACACCAACCAACACAAAATGAATTTGCCAAGAATACATAACTAAGCTCATGCACAACTTCAACATTCACAACTTCAACATTCACAACAAATACACAACAAATTCACATGATTTTAACATAATTACAGCATAAAACAACAAATACATAACACCACTACAAAAATCAACACCCTATGCTCCTGCATAGATTTAAGCTACACAATAAACACAAAATCCAAATCAGCCAAGTACTTTATGCTCCTATACAGATTTAAGCTACACAATAAACACAAAATCCAAATCAGCCAAGTACTTTATGCTCCTGTGCAACTTCAACATTCAGAACATCCAAGACATGTATATTCAGAGTCTACTTCCTGAGTAAAAGCATATTCTAGCAGATTTTCTGCTTCCTCCGAGATAAAGACAATAGCAATCTTTGCTCGTAGAAGTTCACAATCATCCTGATGAATGAATGGTGGTGTGTTGTTGATGATGGAATATATGTATCCCATCATGAAAATGCCACAATCTAAGCTCCTGCACAAACAAATGCCGCAATCAATGATTACATGATAAAATAATAATATGTTAGGAAAATCAATCACATTAATACATTTTAAGTTATAGTCATACCCATCCTGTTGAGGAACCTGTCGGGTTTCTATACTATACTCATCCACATTTTATATTTTCCATTCATCCTTTATGCAAGCTAAGAAATTGTTCATGAACATCTTGGTATCATTAAGATATTTAATGTATGTGAGTGATGAATAGTGATAAAAAATTTTCTCAGCGTTAATCAATTCCAACAAATGCCAATGACTACTGCTAAGAATAGGAAAAATAATCTTCTCGCATTCTTCGAAGCGTGCACGTGGAAGCTGTCGACCCTTGAGTTGTCTTGCCCAATGGCCGGGATTATCTTGTAGTAACGCTCTCTGTTAAAACATGACCATAATATTTAACAAAAAATAATTTAAATGATAGTAAATTTTCCTAATACTCACGGCAAAGAATGATCCTGTGATGTGTACGTGTTTAGAACATGCGTCCGTTTCAATCTTCATCTTAAATCTCTCTATCATACCATCGACTAACTGAAAATTATTCATAATAGAATGATCACAACTAAAATATGAAAATACACACAAAACTATTAAACATTGGGAACTTACACTATCGGAAATTGCGCTTCCAATAAGAAGATGATATACATCTAACCGGGTAACAGATTGCCAAACAAATTCATCTCTATGACAAATGAAACATACACAAGTTAAATAAATGTAATATGAAAGGAAGCGCAACATAAAAAGAAATTTATAAAGCAAAATCGCATGTGTGGGATAAATTATACCTGTTCATTCTCTTCTTGCAAAACTCATCAAGGACTTTCCTCTCACTTTCATTTAACTTTCCCTTCGCCGGGTAATCGCAATTCTTAGGGATAAAATCAGTCCCGCTATTGACATTCCTTCTCTTCTCCGGCCTTTGCAACTGGGAAACATTAATCACTTCATTCTTTTCATCACACCCCGACGTTTGCAATTAAGAAACATTAATTATCTCCATCTTCTTCTCATGACGGCCTCGGCCTCGCAACTGTGTATAAGGTGAACGTCTTGCACGTGCGGGTACATGT